ACGAGACCAAAAAAGAGATGGGAGGGAAAGAAAAGAAAGAAAAAAAAAAACAACCCCTCTATCTTCTGTCCACCATTTCAGAGAAAAGGAATTCATCATCTGCTCTCCTATCTGACATGCAAATGGAAAAGGCAAGAGAGCAGCCTGTTTCCTCCCTACATTAGATATGAAAGGAAGCAGGATAGGAAGAGGGCAGGAAGCAGCCAGCAAAAGGTAAGAAGAGATGCTAAACTTCCCCATGTGCTAACGTTGTTGCATTTGAATCCGAACTCTTAAAAATCTTCAACCCAGCTGTGGAAAAAGGACTTTGGGAAAGCTGGGGTGGGGGGGAGGGCAGGATGGCTTTCTCAGCAGAAGTACATGTTTTGCTTTGTTTTATATTTGCATGCTTCATCCAAAGTGTTACACAACATGAAGCTTTAGAAAGCCATACGAGAACACACACTCCCCACGCATCCAGGGAAAAACCCCCGACCACACCAACATCTGTTTGAATCAAAAAACCTCACCCAAGTCCAACAGGACCCTAACGCAGACTGGTGACTAGGTACCACCACAACAGAATCATGCATTAGAAAATACGCCTTGCTTGGCTGTGAGAGAACAGCTCTCTCAGGACGATTCTGTGAAACTCCGTGCCCCAAATTCACTAACGTTTGCCAGACAGCAACGGCTGCTGCAGGATTCCTTTGGCAAATGCTGCATCTCAGGCTTTTCTCTCTCTCAATATGCTGTGATTTCTTGTGGAGTGGAGAAATCACCTATACTACTAAGAGGTGCAGCACTAACACTTTCAGAAGTAAATAATCTCATAGCAACATATAGGACATAGAGAAACATAATACTTGGGCAGAGAAATTCCTGAGCGGAGAGAGATTAGAAAAATATTCTGATAAACAAACACCGTCGAAGCTTATATTTTTTTACTCAGTGCAAAAAATATTGGGTAACTCTTTGCTGTTCCTAGAAAGAATGGATTCTGTTGCCAACAGCTGTAGTTTTTTGTAGGAATTATAATACTATATTGAAGATTTATGTTCCTGACAAAGGCATAAAGTTCTCCAAATTAAGGCAGAGAAACCAGAATCGTCTTTTCCCAATGAAACAGACCCACGTTATATTTGTTAACTCTTACTACGGCAGAAGTTTTGATCTCCAAAACCAGAAACTCATGCTGCGGTTGATGTTTATGATGATTAAGTCTTGCAATGCACAGGGTGAACTGTTTTATCCCAGGTTTCTTACACAAGCAAGACACACACCCTATCATCTTGAAATCAATTCAAGTCATTAATATTTACCTCCAAAAGCACAGGGCTCTACATTTTCCTCTTGAGATTTTGGGCTTTTACAATGATGTTTCCCCTAGCTTAAGAAAAGGCTTCCCTAAAGCTGCAGCCATCTGACAGATCCGCACGAGAGAAGAAAAAGGTGACCCTAGGCAAAGCGCTGTCCTGTGCATAAAGCACGCAAGCAAGGGAAAGAAATTTTGGGTCTCTTTGCTGCAATTACACAGACCCAAGCGGCCCCACCTGCCTGCACGTCACTCTCCTGATTGCCACAGAAAAGCTACTCCTCATGCTCTGCAGGATTAGGGTCTTCCGTGTTTCCTGGAACTACAGCAGATAACAGTATACAGAACTATCATTTTTAAGTCAACAGACATTCAGCAATAAATCTCAGGGTATTACAGGTTTTAAAGTTCATTTATTGCAAGCAGCCAAACAGCACACTCTGGACTGAATCCTGGCCCAATTTACAGCTACACTCTATGCTGGTCCATGAACGTGACACTGAGTTACACAACTTGGGAACTGATAAATCCATTGCTCTGGAAGAATTTGCCCAAAGGCTCCCCATAAGTCAGTGGCAGTGTCTTGTTTAGGTCTCAAACTTTGGCTTCCGTTTTGTAGCTGCTCATTCTACCGGATCATATTTACACTACATCACCAAAGATGTTCTTACTTCTGTCCTTTTGAAATTGCTGCTTGTTTGGTTCAGTTGATTTGTTGGTTTGGGTTTGGTTTGGTTTGGTTTGGTTTTTTACTAGGGGAAGAAAATAAATTCAAAGTCTCTTAACAATTACAGTTGTGATTTTATTTTTTAACTGGGAACCAACAAACCAGATTTATCAGCTGAAGCACAGACAGAAAGCATGCCTGATCTCTTTGAACAAAATGCACAATAATTCAAAGGCCCACATAGAAAAATCACCATGTGCATGTCACAGTTTTTACATTCAGACAGAGAAAACCCAATAGCCTGCTTTTACGGACTTTAAAAATCCCACGTGTAGTCAGTGAGAAGTGAAAGGCTATAAAATAAAACCTTCCTTCAAGGAACAACTTCCCACCAGTCTTTAGTCCTGCAAAAGATCTGCAAAAAATGAGGATATTTTGCTTGAATAAACAGAATTTTAATTGAGCCTGAACAAGTGAACAGCAGGCATGCGATTTCCATAAGTATGCATGATTCAAAGGGGAAAAAAGAGATTTTAAAATCTGAGGCCACAAAACCAACTTCAATTTAAAAAGTTTGAGGGTGTAAAAAAAGGTAGTGTGTACGTGGCAGACTATTTTCACCACAAATGGCTTCTTTAAAAGAAATTGCCAGTGACAAATCATAATTTATAAGAACTGTTTCTAATAATGCAGAAGTTAAGTTATCTAGCATGGCACTGAAGAACACACATTTAATTTTAAATATGCTTACAGTTTTATTAAAGCCAATGGCTTTTTCCATGCTCAAGGCCAAGCATATGTTGAAGCACTCTGCCGAGACAAAAAGCTTACAAGTTTGTTGTTTAGAATGCAAAGCGAGGTTTTTTAATCCAAACCCACATTTTCTTGCATGTAATCAGCACTGATGATGCCGCCATAGTTTCCAATTCATTCCAGGGTGCACTCAGCATTTATTAGGGCACAGATGGTGCTCTCTTTCTTTGGCTTCTAGAGAACATCTCGAAATATTAAAACAAACTTGGCTATCTGCCTCTTCTTCTGTTCTTACACTCCGTATTGCCACAGTAAAAATAACAATAACCTTTGATCTAATCTAGAAGCCTTTTCTAACTTACACACAAAATTTGGCAATAGGCTTATCAAGTACAGTCAGCCCACTCGAAACCAGAGAACCTGATAGGCGTGAATTCAGGACATTAGTCACAAGCAATCAAGAACAGGAACAAGCAATCTACAAAGCAATCAAAAGAAGAGAAAACAGAAACCATTTTTCTAGTAACAAACTACACGATCCTCACTGTACTCGATGGCTGTGTGTGTGCGTTTCTGGGTCTGTAAGGATTATTCACCAGCTTAACATGCAATTAGCACAAAAACCAGGCTGATTTGTACGGCAAACACAGAGCATGACAGGATTTGTCCTAACAGCGAGCAAGGCCTTATCCAACACAGTCAAGGCCACAACTTTGCATTGTGCTGAGAACCTGCAGTGTTTTCCCCTGTGGGCAGCACTGGACATTTATTTCCCAAATTCTGAAAATCATTTGCCCATTCCTGAGCAAGCATAAAGCAACCTCCACAGAGACTCAACAGAAAGACAAGCTGTAGCAGCCTCCCATTAGAAATGTCCTAAGGTAAGACGTCGTCAGGTTTGTCCAGCAGATCTTGACCAAAACCTTCCTGAACATGCAGCTAACTGGGATGCAGGCGTGTATGATGGTCACCAGCTCTAAGTCACTCATCTCCATGGGCTTTTGGGCTCATGCAAAGCACAGCGACACTGGAAAAATCACATGTCACGTGCATCTAAACGCATCCAACCAAACTCGGATGGGAGGGGTGCAGGGGAGCAGAGGGCTTGGAGAAAGGTGAATCAGACTGCTTGGAAACGATGTTCCCAAGAACTATTTCACTGTCGCTCTGATAAGGTGAGGTTGGCAGCCAATGTACGCTGCCAGAACCTGGGGCGAGAAACGTGCATTTTAAGCAGTTGTCTCGACTTCAAAATAGCTCAACAATTGCATGCATTGGCAAAGAAATCACTTCTCAACAAGCATCAAGTCCAGAAAACTAGTTTTAGAAGTACATTTAAATGTCAGAAAAATAAGATTTGACTAAATAAGATTACATAACACCCACTAAATCAGTTAGCTCCTAAGTTTGTTTTAAAACTAATCAATGGCTAGCAATTTTGCAAGTAATGATCCTAGATATTTGCACACCAGTAAACATAATAAACTAACTAAATCTCAATTAGCATATGCTACTAAATCAAAATTACATTAAAATCATAATAAAAGTAAGTAAATTAAAAAAATCTGTCAACTTGAACAATCCAGAAGCAAAACACTGTGAAATACACATAAAATAAACAATAATCAGGTATAGATGCTGAAGAGACTGTTCTGCAGCTAGACAAAAATACTTTCTATAATCCATTCCCTTTGAGGTAATGGCATCTAGGTCCTCCTACCTCCTAGCCTGTCCAGAGGCAGCCTCTCCTGCTGTCTCCTGGTCTCCTGAAACTCAGCCCTGCTCACTCCCCAAACTTTGCAATGCTTCCTGGCATTTGGCTGACTTCCAGGAAATTCAGGCTGTGCTCTTTTGTTGGTCTCATGCTCCGTATCTACACGATGCTAGAACTTCAAATTACTTTCAAAATTACAGCTGGAGAACAAGTTTCAAAATACCAGCAGCAACAACCCTGGCCTTACCTGCAGGATCTTGTACTGTCACTTCCTTACGTTTCACCATCAGCTTCTCCTTAACCCACGGGAACTCCTGTAAGGAATCCAAGAAAGCATCAAAAGCTTTGGGTCCTCTGGTAGGGAGAATATCAAGGAGCATCATGGTTTTCCTCTGGCTGGTGCTTTGGGATTTTATTTCTTGAACGTGACTGTCTGTGAGAATCCCTTCTTGGTAGAGATACTGGATAACAACTCCATCCACCAGCACCTCTGTGCAGAGCTCCAGCCGCAGGGAGCGTAAAAGCTGCTTGTCTCTGGCATCCATCTGGCAACCTGGAGCGTGAGAAAAGGAGTAGGGAAATGTGTGAAGATCAAAATGCTTCAACCTTGAACGTCCAGAAGGGATGTCTGAACATCCAGAAGCGATGTTTGATTCCTGGCAACTTTTAGAAAGAATGCCAAACTCAGAATCACCAACCTGGGAAAACTATTAATGATCCTCGCCATTTTCTTTTCACTCAAATTTCACTGTCTCATGAGCTAAAACGCAGTCATTTCTGGGAAATATTAGACAGGAAAAGAACCTCGTGCATTGTGAAGCTCAGTCCTTTGCTGGAATAAAAACCATGCCAAATAATCCCACTTAATAACTGGTCAAGGCCCATACTAAAGGCAAGCAGAGCATTTGCCAGTCCTTAAGAGACTCTACCCCCAAAAAATGAGAGAGATGTTACACCTGTTCTCTCTTATGCTTTCTGATGCTATTGCTGTTGCAGTAGAGCAGAAGCAGGACTGGTAAATGCTCCACTGACAGGCAGCAGCGGCAGAGACAGAGCCAACAGGTAGCTTGGGCCTAGGCAATGAGTTTTAATTTTAGGAGGGGTAGAAATATACCTTACACACCATGTTGTTCTCCCTCCCTGACTCATCCTGGAAGGCTGCTCTGGAACTCAACTGATCTGATGATGAGAAACTTCCTTTGAATTTCCATCTCAAACATAGCCACCTTCTATTTATAGACATTTGTTCTGCCAGAGCTGTTCTTTAACTTAAGTAGGTCTTCTTTCTCCCTGGTATTTACCCTTCTGATGTGTTCGCGGGAAGCAATCAGATGCTTTCTGCCAGCTTCCATTTCACTTGACCAACACTGACCAGACACAAGCTGGGAAAGATGCATTTTATAGCCACTATACAGAAGAGAAATCAAGGTCCAGAGAGACCAAGCAACTCATCCAAAATCATACCGGGAATCCATGCCGGACTTACGAACCAAATCAAGATGTCTAGTCTAGTCCTGAACGACACACATAACCCTAGGCCCATTAACAGCACTGGAAAACCACAGAGCAATATAATTAAATACTTTCTCATGACTAAATAATGAAGCCAAAAAACTGCAGGAGGTGTTGAGTGTGATTACCAAGAGATTTTCTGATAATTAAACTAGAAGCTGCTGTTCTAATAGCTCTATCTTGCAGAAACTGTACTTCATTCAGCTTTAGGATATAAGCAGAGGCAGACATTTTCAAAGCTTTTGTAAGAAACTTACTGAAGTCTTTGTATCATCACAGGTGCCTACCGGCTCCCAAGGCCCCAGTGAAGATTGGTTGGTTGGCCTGGTTGTTAAAATCTAGGGCAGGCAACCAACAGCACATGTAGGCATGTAAATGACATCTTGGACTGAATGCGTGAGCCTAGGACCACGAGAGAGATGGGAAAGGCCTGTCTGTGACACCCTCAGAGACAGCCACTTTTTGGAAACACTTCCCCCGAGTGCTGAAAGCATTGCTGGATGGCACCTTCCCAGGAGGATTTCATCTTCACTGGGTTACCCTGTATGCTTCTCATTTACTGAAGTGAAATTTGAGGCGCCTGCCTTCTGTCTAGGGGGCATTTGGGAATCAAGCAGCAGCTATCCTGGCACATGTCCTTAAAAAAATGCTAGTTTGTTAAGCGTATCTCAAACATCAAACTCCACCATGGAGTGAGATGATGGTGCAAGCCAAGGAGATGGAAAAAGAGCAGGCACGAAAAAGAACTGGATTTCCCCATTTGATGTTAGGACGTTCATTTTGGACAAGTTAAGCTGAAGATTCTGGTCCATAACATGTATGACCTTTACAGTACTAGGAGCAATCACTGGACTAAGGCAAAACCAGTTAAAATTAAGGCAGCAGATCCCCATTATTTCTCCCTCCCATGACTCCCCAACTACCCCTGAGCTCATGAAGCACTTGCAGAGTTTAAGACAGGCACCCAGCCATAGCTCTGAGGGTGTTATCTCAACCCAGGCAGAAGTCTGTTTCAGAGGCTAGGAAACTCCTGTGCTTCACATTCTGCTCAGGCCACCAAGAGTCCCCATCCAGGAGCCTCCTCACCCAGACATGAGGAACATCGACTCCTCCAGTCACTGTACAGCACTTGATGAATTCCCCTTCTTCACACCCAAACCAGCCAACATTTTTTAAAAATAAGGCCCTTTCAAACCATCTCAGTTTGCACCTTCGTGCACTGAAAAAAATGCCTCTCGAGCCATGAATGTGAAGTGGGAATTTCTGCTGAAAAAGGCCTTTGGCTCTCTGCAGGGTGAGCACAACCGAGGTTTTAAAGACCTTAACACCAAGGGCCCTTAACACCAAGGTTACTGGCCCAGTAAACTTCCAGGATGGGGTGTACTGATTTTCAAGATCTTTTTAAAGATTAACTATTTCTGTGAGTTGTGTTTACCATGGGAAGGAAATATCTAAGTCAGGAACTAAGCAGTCAGCCACAGAAATGTATCAGGATTTTGGTGTGTAACAGTGCAGGGATGGAGTTTAATGCAACATGAGATTAATTTAAATTAATTTTAGTCACAGTCTGTATTTAGGGATCCAAAGTAAGATCTAAAATAATTTTTTTATAGTAATGCTCCTGCTAGAGGGGAAGTAAGATGAGACATCTGTTTACCCAAAAGATGACATGGCTCAAACATTCCCCAGATACTTCTAACAGTGCATCTTTTCAATTGTAGAGCCAAATGTTAAGAAATAAACCCTACTCCCGCATCCTGCGGAATGAGCACACTCCTTATCACCACTCCAACATGAGAGGATTTGCATTTTTCTGCATCTGACACAGAATCGGTCCTTGAACAGGGATAAAGCTTTTGAAAACCTTGACCCTAAAAAAACAAACAAAACAAAACAAAACAAACCCTTCTCATCCTAAAATGAACATTTGCTTAGGTCTTGGCTATATAAACTTTGGCATTTTCCCAAACACCGACTGCACTGGGCAGCTTTACGACTCCAGTACGTTGTCCTGTGCCTGCCTAGCTAAGGTCCACCCTGCCTACAGAGTGATTTTGGTTATTCACAGCACGCCTACAGGTTAAAAAACTAACACACCCCCAAAAAAAATAATTAAAAATTAAGTTTTGTTTTAATGTCTTCCCTGTTGTCACCGAAGGTCTGGAAGCTGCTGCTCCTGCC